AATAAGTAAATAGAAGAATTAATGAGTATGATAAATGATGGCATGATAAATATACGAATGAAGCAGAAATGATTAAATAACTACATGAATATAAAACACGGATATCAGCTGCATATAAAATAATTTTTCCGCCATTCATTTATTTTTATACAGCGAATATGTAGCTGCAATTACCGATATGAATAATAGAGCTTAGATCTACACTTTTCGAATTCATATCTGTTTACACTGCATATCTTCTCGCTTGGGGATAAATGGGTTCTCGGCAAGAGAGAAAAAGGTTTATGAATATATTATCACGAGCTGAAAGGACTAATCTGTGTCCAGAAGAGAAGGTGAATGTGAGAATGTCTTAGAATCATCAGCCGGTATATATATTTTTTCGTTGATTCTGTAAGTCTGGATAGAAAAATATACATTGCATGATAAAGAGAAGCCTAATCTAGTTCGTTGTATGTTCTTGGAAATATTTTTCTGATGGTGATAGATATATTCTAAAATATTACCGCTTAGTATAGCTGTGAATGTAATGATAGTGATAACAGATAAATGATAATAAGTGATGATGATAATGATAATAATGTTAACCATTATGCATAATACAGTGATAGTAGTTACGTAAAGGCAAGGTCAGTAAATGTTATTAGTAATTGTAAGAATAACTCTGTGATAAGAAAAATGGTATGTGGCAACATTAGTATCAGTAGTAGTAAAAATATTAATAATGGAAACAATAACAATACTGTTGATGGTGACAATAACGATCATGATAAAGTTTATATAAGAATGGTAATGGTATAGTTTCTAATAATATTAACAATGATTTATTGTTATCACTCTGATGATACTGATTATTTTGTTATTATCATCAAAATGAATATTATTATTGTTATCTTTGGTATTATCATTGGTATTATACTTGTTGTTGTTCTTGTTGTTATTATTATTATTATTACTATTATTATTTTTACTTTTATTATTATTTTATTATTATTATTATTATTATTATTATTATTGTTATTATATTATTTATATATATATAATATATATATATATATATATATATATATATATATATATATATATATATATATATATAAGTATCATTATCAGCATAATTCTCTTCATGATAGCGCATCTGCAACCACCACCAGCCTCGGCAGTCATGGCATTTCACGGCCGCTTCCCCCGCGTCCGCCCCGGGATCGGAATGGCCGGCGTGCAT